ACCCGGCCTATTTTCTGTCTTTTTGATAATAGCCATTCTAACTGGGATGAAATGATATCTCATTGCAGTTTTGATTTGCATTTCCCTGATGATTAGACATGTTGAGCATTTTTTCATATACCTTTTGGCCATTTCTATGTCTTCTTTTGAGAAATGTCTATTCAGGTCTTTTGCCCATTTTGAATAGGATTTTTGTTTGTTTGTTTGTTTGTTTTTGCCATTGAGTTTCTCATATATTCTGGTTGTTAATCCCTTGTCAGATGGATAGTTTGCAAATACTTTCTTCCATTCCGAGTTGCCTCTTCACTTTGTTGACTATTTCCTTTGCAGCGCAGAAACTTTTTAGCTTGATGTAATCCCATTTGTCTATCTTTGCTTTTGTTACCTGTGCTTTCGGGGTCTTACCTAAAATATCTTTGCCCAGACCAATATCCTGTAGTGTTTCCCCAATGTTTTCTTTTAGTAGTTTCACAGTTTCAGGTCTTACATTTAAGTCTTTAATCCATTTTGAGTTGATTTTTGTATATGGTGAAAGATGGGTATAATTAACCCTTTGAAATCTAAGTTTACTAATATAGAAAACCCCAATAAACAGGATCATATCATACCAAACTCACAGGGCAATTTTGAGTTTAAATGAGATATTGCATGCAAAGCACTGGCAAAGAGCCTAGCACATAAAAGGCACTCAGTGAATGTTAGATGTTATTAACCTTGGAATGATTCCTGTTACACAATACATTTCTACTGAAGGAACACATGCAACTGCATATTTGCTATAATGTTGAAATTGAAACCTTAGTTGGGGAGGGGGGAGAAGTGCTATACAGGGGGAGGTGTACAACAGAACTTATTAGAAAGAAACAGCAACGTGACAGAAGAGAATCCAGAAATACATTCTGTATGGACCTGACAATATAACAGTATGTATATAACAGCTTTTATATGTATTTGTACATTATGTTATTTCTTAGATCAGTTCTCCCCTACCAAAAGAAACTATAATTCAGGCCAGGCACAGTGGCTGATGCCTGTAATCCTAGCACTCCGGGAGGCAGAGGCAGGAAGATCACTTGAGGTCAGGAATTCAGGAGGATCACTTGAGGTCGGGAGTTCGAGATCAGCCTGACCAACAGCAAGACTCCCCATCTCTAAAAAGAATAGAAATGTAACCCTAGCACTCTGGGAGGCTGAGGTAGGTGGATCGCTCAAGGTCAGGAGTTCGAGACCAGCCTGAACAAGAGTGAGACCCCGTCTCTACTAAAAAATAGAAAGAAATGATCTGGACAACTAAAAAATATATATATATATAGAAAAAATTAGCCGGGCATGGTGGCGCATGCCTGTAGTCCCAGCTACTCGGGAGGCTGAGGCAGGAGGATCGCTTGAGCCCAGCAGCTTGAGGTTGCAGTGAGCTATGATGACCCCACTGCACCCTAGCCAGGGCAACAGAACAAGACTCTGTCTCAAAAAAAAAATAATAATTTATATCCTTTCATTTCTTCCACTTTTTATTCCTATTTTTCCTTAAGAAGGGGCTAGAAATCTGGCATAAGGGAAAAATTACATATGTATGTGCTTGTATCTCTAACTACATTGTAAATTTCTTAAGGATAATTTTTGCCTCCTTCCCATGAATCACTTACCATATTTTAAGCATTTGATAAATGTTTCAAATACAGCCTGGCACATTAAATTCTCGATTAACATTTGTTGGATGATAGAATTCATAAATGAGCATTTATGTGCTCCCCTCCTCCATCCATTGGGATGCTCCCTGAGACACTTCTGTTGGAGTACTATTTTCATTCATCTGACATTTATATGGGATTCTTTTTAAAAATATTTTGAGCAGCTTTCAGGGTTGCTTACTGTACAAGATAAAAATAATTAGGGAATTAGGAGAGAATACAGTTATTTAAGATAACAAGAAAGGCTGACATATACCAATAAGATTCATAGTTATTGGAGGTGGGTTGCAAATTTGGTTCTGAGCTTCCTAGCAGCCATCGTAAAGTTAATTATATAATTCGCATTGTTCATACAATTCAAAACAATTACTCAGCTATTTCAGTTACCAAAGACAGCATTTTTCTTTGAGTTTTCATTAAAAGATTTTTTTATATAATAAATGTCTTCAAGAATATTCTACAGTAAATGTAAAACTGGTCTCATTGGTCTATTTTGTTTTACAACCCTTGATGTAGCCCCATGATGTAATGCCAAAATAAAGATCAGCGGATGGATTCTCAAAGGGACCAAAACCTATTTTGCCTAGGTCCAAAACTACGGTAATCTAGTTTATTTTTTTATTTTTTATTTTTTCAGGCAAAATAACTCAGGCTTCTGGATCTAGTTTAATTGAATGCAAAAAATCACGTCACAGAAGAAATGACAAGAATCTTCCAAAAATATTTATTCCTTACAATTAAGTTTACTAAGCGTTAGGCAGTAAGAGACTGCGCTACACCTTTAACAGCCACCAGCGATATGTCTAATGGTGTCACTATGTCTTTAAAAAAGATACTTTGGACACCATGAAAATTCTGGAACTTTCCTGATCACCTGACTAACAGAAAGAAGCCATTTTACAACCCCAACTACTGTGGACCATGGAGTGCCGTGAGGGACAGCTCCCCGATTCCTCAGAAAATGATTCAATACTGACGGTTTCGACATCAGGAGTAACTAGCAACCGAGAGCCCCAGATTCCTGGTGACCCTGGTGCTGAAACCGCCTGTGACAGCAGCACCGAAATTGCCGGCGAGCAAGGCACCCGAATTCCTGGCGACCATGGCGCTCCTACTGATGCCGACAGCACTGCCCAAGCTGCTGCCCAAACTCCCGGAAACTTACTGGAAAGGAAAGGTAAGTGGCTTTTTAAGTGTTTTTTTCTCGATTCGAGGATATTCTTTGGGAGTTTGAAGTGCAAACCCCCTTTTGGAGAAATCCCACTTTTGGACCAGGCATGGTGGCTCACACTGGGCGGGTGAGGCAGGGAGGATCGCTTGAGCTCAGGAGTTCGAGACCAGCCTGAGCAAGAGCGAGACCCCGTCTCTACTAAAAATAGAAAGAAGTTAATCGGACAACTAAAAATATATAGAAAAGATTAGCCGGGCATGGTGGCGCATGCCTGTAGTCCCAGCTACTCGGGAGGCTGAGGCAGAAGGATCCCTTAAGCCCAGGAGTTTGAGGTGGCTGTGAGCTAGGATGACGCCACGGCACTCTAGCCCGGGAGACAGAGTGAGACCCTGTTATGAAACAAACAAACAAACAAACCCCAAAAAAACAAAAAGAAAGGAGAATGGAAAGGACAGGAGAGGAAAGGAGAAAAAGGAAAGGAAAGGAAAAGAAAAAAGAAACGGAAGGAAGGAAGGAAAGAACAAGAAATAGAGAAAAGAAAGAAAGAAAGAAAAGAAAGAAAGAAAGAATGAAATCCTCTTTTTGGAGCCGCGTAACTGTGACCCTTTCCAAAAGATGTAAAACAGCGACTCTGTTGAGGAGAGGGAGAGGCTAATCGTGTCAGAGTAGTTTGGGCGCGGGTTATAGTTATTTAGTGGGTTTACGCAGCAGTGTATTTGCCACCAGCTGAGGTCGCCTCGCCAAGGGACAAATCGTCCAACCTAATGGGTTTGAGGAGCAATCAAATGTGTGAGGCTTTTTGCCAAGTATCACTGTCTATTGGTAAAAATCTCCCGGCGCCCTCAAGGTCGCCCCTGTGTAAAGGTAGCTTGTTTTGAAGCCCTGATCTTACTTCGTGAGGTCCCAGAGGCGTCGCATGTCCTCAGCGCTCAGCGCCTTTCGAACCTTCCCGCCTAAGCACGCGGCGAGCCCTCGAGGCTGCGGCTCTGTCCCTCTGCCCGGCGGCCGCGGAGGCGTGGCGAGGCGGGGAGGGGCGGGCGCCGGCCGCTCCTACCTGTCCCTGCTCCGGGCGCCCAGAACCCACAGGGCACAGACGCGGCTCCCAGCTCGCACAGCCTTTCCAATGGCGGCGCGAGTCCGCGGAGGAGAAGGTGAGTCTTCCCGGGACCCGGGCAGCGCCCCCCGCCACCCTCCCCAGCCCGCCGGGACCGCGGGGCGCGAAGGCTGCGTCCCGTTTGGCCCCGAGGGAGGCTTTCAAGGGAAATGGGATCGAAGCCCAGGGACTGAACTTTCCCCTTGGAAGCTTAGTGCCCCAGGGATAAGGATGGAGTGCGGGTCTCTATCTTTAAATTGCAGCCGGTGGCTGTGAACTTGAAAAAATACCAATTTAGGCTAGTGCTGACTTGCAGTGCCGGGAGCATTCTGCCAGGCACCCTCCAGCGAGTTATAATTCCCCAATTGTAATTCTGCTAAAGCTAGATGGAGCTGGGGTGAAAGGTCGAGAGGGGTCCTCCTTTAATTTAATTAGGTATCAAAGAACTCTTGCTGGAAAAAAGTTGATGCTTTTTTTCTCTTTCTTTTTTCTTGATTTCATTTTTTCTTTTCCTTTTTTTTTTTTTTTTTTTTTTTTTTGAGACAGAGTCTCGCTCTGTTGCCCAGGCTAGAGTGCCGTGGCATCATCCTAGCTCACAGCAACCTCAAACTCCCGGGCTCAAGCAATCCTCCTGCCTCAGCCTCCCGAGTAGCTGGAACTACAGGCATGTACCACCATGGTCCAGCTAATTTCTTTATATTTTTTAGTAGAGATGGGGGTCTCACTCCTGCTCAGGCTGGTCTCGAACTCCTGAGCTCAAACAATCCACCCGCCTTGGCCTCCCGGAGTGCTAGGATTATATGCGTGAGCCACCGCGCCAGGCCCGTTGATGCTTTTTCTTACTGTAAACACCATACAACCACTTCTTTGAGTAAATGCAGGTAACAAATTTAAAAAATAATTAAAACTCATTTCAGCCAGGGTTAGCCAACTTCTTTCCCCCGGGACCTTTTATCAGGTGTTTACAAGCAACTACTTTGAAATAGTTTCAGTTCTTACATTCTTTCTTTCATAAAAGAGGAGTTGCCAAAAAGGCTTTGCAATGAACAAAATGCCCTAGTCTTAGTTCTGCTGAGAAATCTAAAAGTTACTACTGATCTGATAAAATCTTGCTTAGCAACTAGTTCTTCAAATAATCTGAGTTTCTGCCCCCAACCTTGTGTTGGTTATTCTGTTCCGTTTGCTGGGCAATGTGCCCAGCCCGAGATTTTGTATTTTGTTTACTTTATTTTAATTAACTTTTTTCTTACATTTACATTTCGTTTTTGTATTTATGTATGTACATATACGTGTGTGTATATACATATTTATAACTGTATGAAGCAAGAAGAGATGACTTATCACAAATAATGTGGCCTCCCCATTCTAGGTGTCTGCTTTTCCACTGCTGACCTCTTTGTGTTTTCTATGCCTTTCTGATAATTTCTGAAGTTACACTAAAATAGTGAAATCATAACTTCCAAATGATTTCTTTTCTTTCTTTCTCTTTCTTTTCTTTTCTTTTTCTTTTTACAGAGACAGAGTCTCACTCTGTTGCCCTGGGTAGAGCACAGTGGCATCATCATAGCTCACTAAAACCTCAAACTCCTGGGCTCAAGAGATCCTCCTGCCTCAGCCTCCCAAGCAGCTGGGACTATAGACATGCGCCACCATGCCCGGCTAATTTTTCCTTTTTTCTATTTTTAGTTGTCTGGCTAATTTCTTTCTATTTTTAGTAGAGACAGGGGTCTCATTCTTGCTAAGGCTGGTCTCGAACTCCTGACCTCAAGCAATCCTCCCACCTTGGCCTCCCAGAGTGCTAGGATTACAGGCGTGAGCCACTACGCCCTGCCTTCTGAATGATTTCACCCTAATAGGGTCCCAGAACCACTTGCATATGTTTAAAAAGGTTCCAGTGTTTTTAATTGATATTCAAATTTAAAACTCAGAGTCTAGTTAATGATTTACAGAGTATTAGGGACTGTACATGAAATGGAGCTTTTACTCTAACTCAAGGTATAAGATCTTGTAATTTGGTGTATAGCATAGTCAGGTTTCGTATATGTACATTACTTTCTTCCAACCTATGAGAAAAATCGTCCTCAGAAGAAGTGTGGGCCCTAATAGCCCAAATACAAGCTACTACAGATACATCCCACATAGATGGAAAATAAGATTAAAGACTAACTTGGGATCCAGCAATCCTACTTTTGGGTATTTATCCTAAGGACTTGAAATCACTATGTCAAAGGGATATCTGCATGCACACATTCATTGTAGCATTATTGACAATAGCCAAGTTACGAAATCAACCTAGGCATTCATCAGTGGATGAATGGATAAAGAGTATGTGGTCCATATACTCAATGGAATACTACTCAGCCTTAAAAAAGAAGGAAAATCTGTCATTTGCAATAACATGGATGAACCTGGATGACATTAGGTAAAATAAGCCAGACAGAGGAAGGAAAAAACCCACATGTTCTCACTTACATGTGGAATCTAAAACAGTCAAACACATAGAAGCAGAGAGTAGAATGGTGGTTACCAGAGGTTGGAGGGTAAGGGGAATGGGCGAGATGTTGGTCAAAGGGTAGAAAGTTGCAGTTAGACAGGAGAAATAAATAATAAGTATTTAAGGTAATGGATATGTAAATTAGCTTGATTCAGTCATTTCACACAGTATACATAGATCATACATTACAGCATACCCTCATAATTATATATGATTATAATTTGTCAAAAAAAGATTAACTGGGAAGAGATATTCACTTTAACAAAGGTGTATTTTTCTTTCTTTTTTTTTTTACAAAGGGATCCACTTTAGGGTTCCTTTAAATATACTTTAGGGGTATTTCAAATAAGTGGTGGTTGTGAGAATTAAATGAAGTAATAGAATTAATGCACTCAATGTAGTGCTAGGCACATAGAATGCACACAATAAATGTTAGTAATGAATAAATCAAATCAAACTTTAAGTTCTATTCATACCACCCTTTCAGGAATGCATCTATTCCATGAAGTTAGGTATACTTATATAGATAGTCTAACCATAAGAATTGGCCTCCTAATTTTTCCCCAAGGTAGCTCAGTGCTGTTGATGTTGGCTCTAGAGTCAAAAAACTACCTGCGTTCCCATGGACTGCCTAATTCCTACCAATCCATTAAAGTGGATGAAAAATTGAAAATTAAGTTTTTCTTTACTTCAAATCATCATAGAACATTTCTGCAAGTGGTTTCTGGGTTTTCAGCCTTCAGTTTGCACTCTTACCTGCAGAGGACGTATAGTTTGCTTAGGTAATCACCACCGTGTTGTTGAATTGTAGTCCTTTACCTGAAAGTCTAAGAATATCGTTAAGATTAAATCATGTTGCATAACAGCTCTTACTTCATTTGTTCATCAGATTACATCATGTAATTTGGATTGACTCTGGGAAATCTGCACATGTTGGAGGGGAGATAAAGTGACTCTTAAAAATAATCAAATTATGTCAAAGAAAGTATTGTGTAACTTTACGGGTGTCATTCCGGTGAGGATTATGGACAAGAGGTTGTATAATTTAACGAGTACTATCAGAATTGGTCAGCAGAGGGAGCAAGAGGAGTTTTTAGTGACTTTCTCCTGGTTTTCTTTTTGTTTTCATGAACTCAAAAATAAGACATGAGTGTAAGACGGAAGGAACTTCCTTATGAACTTGAGAACCAGTTCATCTTACGCCTGCCTATGGTAAGAAACCTCTGCATCTCAGAGCAAATATCTTCATTGCATGAGTATAGTTCTCCTTGGATTCTGTAACATTTCTATTTCAGGTAGGCTGTAAAAACTCAGAACATCTGTTTCCCAGGAATCATGTTCTATTAAGCAGCCCTATCATAGTGTGTACTCTTTTAGCAGATTTTTTTTCCTCCTGTACATACCACCTAGCATGTGGGTTGATTTCCTGGCAAAACAGCTGTGACAATGATGTCACTTATCACAGATACTAACAGCCTGTTTCCTGGACAGCCATGATAAGACTCTTCTGAAATCCTTTCTGTCACCTCAAAAGGGGCAGTGAGAAGGACCAGCCGTATATCTCCTGTAAATTTATCACCATGCAAGCTGTTGAAGCTCATCTCAACATGTATTGGGTCTCTTCCACCCCTGATACCTGTATTCATGCATTACTTAGTCTAGGAAGCTATATTAAGGATGAGGTTCAGAAAGCTATTTCCCCAATTAGGGTTCATTAATATGCCAATTAATATGTCAGGTACACTGCAGCTAAGCTGTTCTTTAGCAACTACAGCTGAAAGGTAGCAGTGACAGGCAGGAATGTAGAGCTAGGAGAAGGCATTAACTGTAACTCCTAAAAGACAATGATGAGATTAGAGTCAGCCTCATCCTAACTTGATTTATACAATGCATTGTCTTGCTATTAACATTTGGAAGGTGTAAGGTTTTATTTAAGGGAGAGCTTTCTTTGATATATCTATTCTCTTAGTTGCCAAGTAGATAAGTAATCCTGATTTTTCAACTTACCTCCTTTTTAGGAACAGGCTTGTACTGTGAGGAACTTAATGCGTTCTGGAAGTGTCATCTCAAAGGATAAACTAAAAATTGACTTATCTTGTAAGTAGTTAATATCCATTCAGCATACATTGAACAATAATGTACCAAGGGATCACTATGTGCCAGGCACTGTACTAGGTACTAAGGATGTGAAAAAGAATATAATGTGGTCTCTGTCTTGATGGACTCATGGTTTAGAGAGGCTTAAGTCCTATTAGGAGGAAAGAAAGTAGGAATTATGCAACTTGGGGTGAGTAATTATCATAATGTGTATAAGGAAGAACTTAGGGGTTAACTGTGGGATTTCCATACTGCTAGTAGTCTCATATACAAGCTTTATGACTGTATTTTTTTTGAGACAGAGTCTCACTCTCTTGCTTGGGCTAGAGTGCCGTGGCGTCAGCCTAGCTCACAGCAACCTCAAACTCCTGGGCTCAAGTGATCCTCCTGCCTCAGCCTCCCGAGTAACTGGGACTACAGGCACACACCACCAGACCTGGCTACTTTTTTCTATTTTTAGTTGTTTGGCTAATTTCTTTCTATTTTTAGTAGAGATGGGGTCTTGCTCTTGCTCAAGCTGGTCTCAAACTCCTGAGCTCAAGCAATCCTCCCACCTCGGCCTCCCAGAGTGCTAGGATTATAGGCGTGAGCCACCGCGCCTGGCTGAGCTTTATGATTTTTTAAAGTTCAAGGGAATGACAAATGAATATGGTGTTCTTTGTTTACAAAGGTGACATATATTTCTTTCTTTAAATAATATTTGTTACATTTGCAAACCATACATCTGGTAGAGGTTAATATGCAAAACATAAAAGGAACTCAACTCAATAGCAAGAAAACAAATAACCCAATTAAAAAATGGGAAAAGGACCTGAACAGACACTTTTTTTTTAATTTCAGCATATTATGGGGGTACAGATGTTTAGGTTACGTATGTTGCCCTTGCCCCCCCCCAAGTCCGAGTTTCAAGCGTGTCCATCTCTCGGATGGTGCACATTGCACTCCTTGTGTATGCATATACCCGTCCCCTTCTCCCTCTCCCCCCAGAACAGACACTTTTTGAAGAAGACACACAAATGGCCAACAG